GACTACTCCTCACTGATGGTGACACTGTTGGAAACACAAAGTTCATGGCATTCAAGCCCATAGGGAGGAACTCAGCCAAATATGAGGAGGTCATGATAGCCAATCTTAAACTAGCTCATGGCACTCAATCCAACCCCTGAGGAGCAAATGTTGCTCCTCCCATGTATTCCACTGTGCCGAGGCTTTAACTGGATGGACATGAACCGGTCTTACACACCTCCCTTATCCCCCAACTCTGCTTCAGTGTATCTTCAAGAGGAATAAGGTAGGTGGCCTGCCCGAGCTTGTTCATTAAAACATGCTCAATGACAATGCCCTTTCTTATTGGTCTTAAAAGGGGCAAAATCAATTTGGATTTGTCCCTAATTGACTTTCAACGAACATCCATCGAACCAAATTCAGGCTCATGACTACTCCTCACTGATGGTGACATTTTCGGAAACACAAAGTTCATGGCATTCAAGCCCATAGGGAGGAACTCAGCCAAATATGAGGAGGTCATGATAGTCAATGTTAAACTAGCTCATGGCACTCAACCCAACCCCTGAGGAGCAAATGTTGCTCCTCCCATGTATTCTTCTGTGCCGAGGCTTTCACTGGATGGACATGAACCGTTCTTACACACCTCCCTTATCCCCCAACTCTGCTTCAGTGTATCTTCAATATGAGGTCATGATAGTCCACCTTAAACTAGCTCATGGCACTCAACCCAACCCCTGAGGAGCAAATGTTGCTCCTCCCATGTATTCCACTGTGCTGAGGGTTTCACTGGATGAACTAGTCCTCACTGCTGGTGACATTGCCTGAAACACAAATTTCATGGCATTCAAGCCCATAGGGAGGAACTCAGCCAAATATGAGGAGGTCATGATAGTCAATCCTAAACTAGCTCATGGCACTCAACCGAACCCCTGAGGAGCAAATGTTGCTGCACTCATGTATTCCACTATGCCGAGGCTTTCACTGGATGGACACGAACCGTTTTTACAAATCTCCCTTATCCCCAACTCTGCTTCAGTGTATCTTCAATACGAGGAGGTCATGATAGTCAATCTTAAACTAGCTCATGGCACTCAATCCAACCCCTGAGGAGAAAATATTGCTCCTCCCATATATTCTACTGCACTCATGTATTCCACTGTGCCGAGGCTTTCACTGGATGCACATGAACCGTCCTTACAAACCTCCCTTATCCCCCAACTCTGCTTCAGTGTATCTTCAATACGAGGAGGTCATGATAGTCAATCTTAAACTAGCTCATGGCACTCAATCCAACCCCTGAGGAGAAAATATTGCTCCTCCCATATATTCTACTGCACTCATGTATTCCACTGTGTCGAGGCTTTCACTGGATGCACATGAACCGTCCTTACAAACCTCCCTTATCCCCCAACTCTGCTTCAGTGTATCTTCAATATGAGGAGGTCATGATAGTCAATCCTAAACTAGCTCATGGCACTCAACCGAATTGACTTTCAACGAACATCCAGTGAACCAAATTGAGGCTTATGACTAGTCCTCACTGACGGTGACATTGTCGGAAACACAAATTTCATGGCATTCAAGCACATAGGGAGGAACTCGGCCAAATATGAGGAGGTCATGATAGTCAATATTAAACTAGCTCATGGCACTCAACCCAACCCCTGAGGAGCAAATGTTGCTCCTCCCATGTATTCCTCTGTGCCGAGGCTTTCACTGGATGGACATGAACCGTTCTTACAAACCTCCCTTATCCCCAACTCTGCTTCAGTGTATCTTCAATATGAGGAGGTCATGATAGTCCATCTTAAACTAGCTCATGGCACTCAATCCAACCCCTGAGGAGCAAATATTGCTCCTCCCATATATTCTACTGCACTTATGTAATCCTCTGTGGGATAAAGATAAAGCGAGCGCTCAAGAATCAGCTGCTGAAACACTCTAAGGAATCACTGGACCTTGTAACAAGAATAATATATATATAGTGCAGCGCTGTGATACTAATATAAAATATATGTGAATAAAAGTTCATATAGTCCTTTACACAATAAAAGTGATCGTGAACAAAGAACATGTGAAGGTCTCTTCATCGTTTAGATGACTGGAATCAAATAGAAAAAATGCGCACTCACCGACCGCGCATTTTAAATGCGCATGTATGCAATATTATCCAGATGATCGGTCAGGTATGCAGATCAGCAAAACACATTGGTCACCCCCCTCAAGTAACGACATCAGCCTTGGGTGCAGTGATATACCTCCAGGTCCAGAGAGCCCTCTTGCCCCAAGTGATAAGGTGGATTGAGATCCCTCTCCTGGTTACAGGTACCCAAGAATTGGCTGCTGCAAATCTGGAACCCTCCTTTTCCCAGAGGTTATGCTGCTCCATGTGCTGGCATCCATCCAGCACATGGAGCAGCATAACCTCTGGGAAAAGGAGGGTTCCAGATTTGCAGCAGCCAATTCTTGGGGTACTGTAACCAGGAGAGGGATCTCAATCCACCTTATCACTTGGGGCAAGAGGGCTCTCTGGACCTGGAGGTATATCACTGCACCCAAGGCTGATGTCGTTACTTGAGGGGGATGACCAATGTGTTTTGCTGATCTGCATACCTGACCGATCATCTGGATAATATTGCATACATGCGCATTTAAAATGCGCGGTCGGTGAGTGCGCATTTTTTCTATTTGATTCCAGTCATCTAAACGATGTAATCCTCTGTGCCGAGGCTTTCACTGGATGGACATGAACCGTTCTTACAAACCTCCCTTATCCCCAACTCTGCTTCAGTGTATCTTCAATATGAGGAGGTCATGATAGTCCATCTTAAACTAGCTCATGGCACTCGATCCAACCCCTGAGGAGCAAATATTGCTCCTCCCATATATTCTACTGCACTGAGGCTTTCACTGGATGGACATGAACCGGTCTTACAAACCTCCCTTATCCCCCAACTCTGCTTCAGTGTATCTTCAATATGAGGAGGTCATGATAGTCCATCTTAAACTAGCTCATGGCACTCAACCCAACCCCTGAGGAGCAAATGTTGTTCCTCCCATGTATTCCACTGTGCCGAGGCTTTCACTGGATGGACTAGTCCTCACTGCTGGTGACATTGCCTGAAACACAAATTTCATGGCATTCAAGCCCATAGGGAGGAACTCAGCCAAATATGAGGAGGTCATGATAGTCAATCCTAAACTAGCTCATGGCACTCAACCCAACCCCTGAGGAGCAAATGTTGCTGCACTCATGTATTCCACTGTGCCGAGGCTTTAACTGGATGGACATGAACCGGTCTTACAAACCTCCCTTATCCCCCAACTCTGCTTCAGTGTATCTTCAATATGAGGAGGTCATGATGGTCAATCCTAAACTAGCGCATGGCACTCAACCGAACCCCTGAGGAGCAAATGTTGCTCCTCCCATGTATTCCACTGTGCTGAGGCTTTCACTGGATGGACTAGTCCTCACTGCTGGTGACATTCCCTGAAACACAAATTTCATGGCATTCAAGCCCATAGGGAGGAACTCAGCCAAATATGAGGAGGTCATGATAGTCAATCCTAAACTAGCTCATGGCACTCAATCCAACCCCTGAGGTGCAAATGTTGCTCCTCCCATGTATTCCACTGTGTCGAGGCTTTCACTGGATGGACATGGACCGTTCTTACACACCTCCCTTATCCCCCAACTCTGTTTCAGTGTGTCTTCAATATGAGGAGGTCATGATAGTCAATCCTAAACTAGCTCATGGCACTCAACCGAACCCCTGAGGAGCAAATGTTGTTGCACTCATGTATTCCACTGTGCCGAGGCTTTCACTGGATGGACATGAACCATCCTTACAAACCCCCCTTATCCCCCAACTCTGCTTCAGTGTATCTTCAATATGAGGAGGTCATGATAGTCCATCTTAAATTAGCTCATGGCACTCAACCCAACCCCTAAGGAGCAAATGTTGCTCCTCCCATGTATTCCACTGTGCCGAGGCTTTCACTGGATGGACTACTCCTCACTGCTGGTGACATTGCCTGAAACACAAATTTCATGACATTCAAGCCCATAGGGAGGAACTCAGCCAAATATGAGGAGGTCATGATAGTCAATCCTAAACTAGCTCATGGCACTCAACCCAACCCCTGAGGAGCAAATGTTGCTGCACTCATGTATTCCACTGTGCCGAGGCTTTCACTGGATGGACATGAACCGTTCTTACAAACCTCCCTTATCCCCAACTCTGCTTCAGTGTATCTTTAAGAGGAATAAGTTTTTTTTTTTTTAAGTATGTTTTTCAGAAGATGTGTTCCATACTGATCATTTCCCTGTGATGTTTTATCCAGTCAATTAAGAGTGCGGACTTCGTGTTCCTTTTTATATAAAATCGATTTGTGCTCGGCTCTTCCAAACAACCTTGACTAAAACCATCTCCACTTGACAGCACCTGCATATGATTTATCCTCTCAAGCACTTTTACGAGGAGCTGTGCCGTCAGCGCTGCGATAATAGAACAGAAAAGCCTCGGCGCATCCGGCTGGTGAGAGCTCTAGCTGTACGAAGCTCTTGTCAGGCTCCCTTCATTACCGTGAATCAGGTGAGCGATGGCGATGGACGTGTAATGCCATGTAATGGACTTCTGCTAGGAATGTACGGAAAAGTCTGCAACATGCAGAAGCCATCTGTGTCAAGAAGACCCTACAGCCAAACGTAAAACATTTTTAAAGGAGGACCTGTCACGGTCAGGGGAGGACTGACCATTTGGGAACTCGGGCACTGCCCGAGGGCCCGGGGTCAGTAGGGGGCCCCATGAGATGCCCCTGGTACCTTTCATAGGCTTTTTTGGGTGTGGTTTGAGTGTAGGCGAGGACACAGGGGCCCCATGATCTCCTATTGCCCGGGGCCCATGAGTTGTCAGTCCGTCCCTGGTCATGGTTAAAATATAGTTGTGCTCATAGATTTACAAACCATCTGGAAGAAGATCATCTAGATCAGGGGTCTCCAAACTTTCTAAACAAAGGGCCAGTTTACTGTCCTTCAGGGGGGTCGGACATTGGTGTCAGTTGGAGGAATAGTGCCCGTTGTTGGTGTCATTGGGAGGAATGGTGCCCTATTGGTGTCAGTGGGAGGTATGGTGCCACATTGTTGGTATCAGTCACAGGAATGGTGCCCCGTTGGTGTTGTTAGTCGGAGGAATAGTGCCCCATTGTTGGTATCAGTCGCAGGAATGGTGCCCCGTTGTTGGTGTCAGTGGGAGGAATAGTACCTCATTGTTGGTATCAATGGCAGGAATGGTGCCCCATTGTTGGTGTTAGTGGGAGGAATAGTGCCCCATTGTTGGTGTCAGTGAGAGGAATGGTTTCCAGTTGTTGGTGTCATTGGTAGGAATAGTGCCCCATTGTTGGTGTCAGTGGCAGGAATGGTGCCCCATTGTTTGTGTCAGCAAGAGGAATGGTGCCCCATTGTTTGTGTCAGCAAGAGGAATGGTGCCACATTGTTGGTGTAAGTGGGAGGAATAGCACCCCAATCATCATTGGTGTCAGTGGGAGGAATAGTGTCCATTATTGGTGTCAGTGGGAGGAATAGTGCCCCATCATTGGTGTCAGTGAAAAGACTTGTGGCCCATCGTTGGTGTCAGTGAAAGGAATAGTGCACTGTCGTTACATAGTTACATAGTTAGTCTGGCTGAGAAAAGACAAAAGTCCATCCAGTTCAACCATAGAAAAAAAAAGTTATAATCCTACACCCACAGCTGATCCAGAGGAAGGCAAAAAAAAACCCAGCAAAGCACGATCCAATTTGCTCCTGCAGGAGAATAAAAATTCCTTCCTGATCCCCCAAGAGGCGATCTGATATTCTCTGGATCACCTTTACCTATAAATGTTATATCCAGTTATATTCTGTATATAGAATTTGGTCCTTGTCACAGTCCCTCAAAACTTATGTTCTCCATTTGTTCTGCTTTCAACTTCAGGGTCAACATGTTCACTTGCTGCCTAATATATCCCAAACACTTTCAGATGCCATTGTAAAGAGATAATCAACGTCATTCACTTTACCTGCAATGGGTCAGAATGCGTTGGCTGATCGGTGTATATTCACCATAAATGATAATCCACCATGCTTTGGGGACAACAAGGTCTCTTCCCCCTAATCGCCGAACCCTGACAAAGGTGGGCATCTAGACCCACCATGCTTTGGGGACAACAAGGTCCCTTCCTCGTAATCACCGAACCCTGACAAAGGTGGGCATCTAGACCCACCATGCTTTGGGGACAACAAGGTCCATTCCCCGTAATCGCCGAGCGCCTACAAAGGTGGGCCTCTAGACCCACCATGCTTTGGGGACAGCAAGTTCCCTTCACTGTAATCACTGAGCCCCAACAAAGGTGGGCCTCTAGACCCACCATGCTTTGGGGGCAACAAGGTCCCTTCCCCGTAATCGCCGAGTTCCGACAAAGGTGGGCCTCTAGACCCACCATGCTTGGGGACAACAAGGTCCATTCCCCGTAATCGCTGAGACCCGAGAAAGGTGGGCCTCTAGACCCACCATGCTTTGGGGACAACAAGGTCCCTTCCCCGTAATCTCTGAGCCCTGACAAAGGTAAGCCTCTAAACCCACCATGCTTTGGGGACAACAAGGCCCCTTCCCCGTAATTGCCGAGACACAACAAAGGTAGGACTCTAGACCCACCATGCTTTGGGGACAACAAGGTCCCTTCCCTGCAATCGCCAAGCCCCCGCAAAAGGTGGGCCTCTAGACCCCCCATGCTTTGGGGACAACAAGGTTCCTTCCCCGTAATCTCCGAGCCCTGACAAAGGTAAGCCTCTAGACCTACCATGCTTTGGGGATAAAAAGGTCCCTTCCCCGTAATCGCCAAGTTCCGACAAAGGTGGGCCTCTAGACCCACCATGCTTTGGGGACAACACGGTCCCTTCCCCGTAATCGCTGAGCCCCGACAAAAGGTGGGCCTCTAGAACCCCCATGCTTTCGGGACAACAAGGTCCATTCCCTGTAATCGTTGAGCCCCGACAAAGGTGGGCCTCTAGACCCACCATGCTTTGGGGACAGCAAGGTCCCTTCCCCGTAATCTCCGAGCCCTGACAAAGGTAAGCCTCTAGACCCACCATGCTTTGGGGACAACAAGGTCCCTTCCCCGTAATCGCCGAGACACGACAAAGGTGGGCCTCTAGACCCACCATGCTTTGGGGACAACAAGGTCCCTTCCCCGCAATCGCTGAACCCCAACAAAGGTGGGCCTTTAGACCCTCCGAAGTGTGCTGCCCGATCATTTATGTAGAATTTTGACTTTTCACGAATGGTGAGGAGCTCTTTCCTACCGACACAAAACTTTTTTTACTGATCTCCAAATTTTTTCCGACAACCTATTTTTTTTTCATCTTAGACAGGTTAAAAGAAAAGTTTACTGTACCATTTTGTGTTTGTGCCTGATGCCGGTCATTACGGGTGACATGCTCTCAGCGCACTTTGTAAGGTCAGAGCTCCGCTCACTATTGTCTGGAATTACTTCTAAGCAAGAGAAGATTTCCTCTGGGCTAAGGTAGACTCCAGTCTAGTCAAAAAGGTAGCCCTTGAAATTATTATTTATTTATTTCAGGGGCTTATATAGCACCGTCAATTTACGCCACGCTTTACGTATATATTGTACATTCACATGAGTCCCTAACCCTCAAGGGGTGTACAATCTAAGGTCCCTAACCCTTAAGGGGCGTACAATCTAAGGTCCCTAACCCTTAAGGGGCGTACAATCTAAATTCCCTAACCCTCAAGGGGCGTACAATCTAAGATCTCTAATCCTCAAGGGGCGTACAATCTAAATTCCTTAACCCTCAAGGGGCGTACAATCTAAGGTCCCTAACCCTCAAGGGGTGTACGATCTAAGGTCCCGAACCCTCAAGGGGCGTACAATCTAAGGTCCCTAACCCTCAAGGTGCGTACAATCTAAGGTCCCTAACCCTCAGGGGGTGTACAATCTAAGGTCCCTAACCCTCAAGAGGTGTACAATCTAAGGTCCCTCACCCTCAAGGGGCGTACAGTCTAAGTTCCGTAACCCTCAAGGGGCGTACAATCTAAGGTCCCTAACCCTCAAGGAGCGTGCAAACTAAGGTCCCTAACCCTCGAGGGGTGTACAATCTAAGGCCTCTAACCCTCAAGGGGAGTAAAATCTAAGGTCCCTAACCCTCAAGAGGCAAACGATCGAAGGTCCCTAACCCTCAAGGAGTGTACAATCTAAGGTCCCTAACCCTCAGGGGGTGTACAATAAGGTCCCTAACCCTCAAGGGGCGTACAATCTAAGGTCCCTAACCCTCAAGGGGCATACGATCGAAGGTCCCTAACCCTCAAGGGGCATACGATCGAAGGTCCTTAACCCTCAAGTGGCGTACAATCTAAGGCCTCTAACCCTCAAGGGGCGTACGATCTAAGGTCCCTAACCCTCAAGGGGCATACGATCGAAGGTCCCTCACCCTCAAGGGGCGTACAATCTAAGGTCCCTAACCCTCAAGGGCCATACAATCTAAGGTCCCTCACCCTCAAGGGGCGTACAATCTAAGGTCCCTAACCCTCAAGGGGCGTACAATCTAAGGTCCCTAATCCTCAGGGGGTGTACAATCTAAGGTCCCTAACCCTCAAAGAGCGTACAATCTAAGGTCCCTAACCCTCAAGGGGAGTACGATCAAAGGTCCCTAACCCTCAAGGGGTGTACAATCTAAGGCCTCTAACCCTCAAGGGGAGTACAATCTAATGTCCCTAACCCTCAAGAGGCATATAATCTAAAGTCCCTAACCCTCAAGGGGTGTACAATCTAAGGTCCCTAACCCTCAAAGAGCGTACAATCTAAGGTCCCTAACCCTCAAGGGGAGTACGATCAAAGGTCCCTAACCCTCAAGGGGTGTACAATCTAAGGCCTCTAACCCTCAAGGGGTGTACAATCTAATGTCCCTAACCCTCAAGGGGAGTACAATCTAAGGCCTCTAACCCTGAAGGGGTGTACAATCTAATGTCCCTAACCCTCAAGGGGTGTACAATCTAATGTCTTTAACCCTCAAGGGGCGTACAACCTAAGGTGACAGGTCCTCTTTATGGAAACATTGGGGGGTCTATTAGAAACACTGGGTCTCCCCCTGCCTTCCAATGCATCTATTCAAACCCATTGTGTTTGAATAGCTGAATCCTTGGCTACACTACCCAAGGTGTGATTTTGGAAGTGACAGTGACTGACAACTCATGGGGCCCCCGGGTAATAGGGGATCATGGGGCCCCCGTGTCCTCACCAACGCTCACAACCACACCAAAAAAAAATCCTATGAAAGGTACCAGGGGCATCTCACAGGGTCCCCTACTGACCCCCGGGCCCTCAGCAGTGCCCGAGTTCCCAAATGGTCAGTCCGCCCCTGGTAAGGATAATATAGGTCAGACGTCAATGTGATTGGGTCAGATAAGACATGAAGGGGCCCAATGATCTCCTGTGAACGTTCTTGCATACAGTTTATTATGACCTTGAAAAAGATGGTTCCTTTGTCGGCATATTGCCAGTCATGGTTTATTTGACGTCTTATCAGTGGAGAGAGAGCTTGAAACGTATGTTTTCCTGACATATATTTCAAAGGTCTTTCTTTTCCTCTCTGGATCTCACCATCTCCCTTTGGGGGTTGGGCGCTATCGGTTCAAGCAGCCGGGGTGACTTCAATGGACACGATTAACAAGTGAGGAAATGAAAAACTCCCTGAAGAAATTCGGTGTGAAATGCCGCTCATCCTCCGGTTTTTTTGGAACATAACCTTTTCCCGTATAGCGAGGAGACTTAGTGACTGCAGGCAATGCGAAGAAAACTAACAAAGAGCCACCCCTGACCTTTACATTGTTTGTTTTTCTCCATCGCTCAACAACAACCTGGCCCTGGAAAGTTCAGGAATACCTTAAGGAAAAATCTATTTCTGCTGTAACAGGCGGTTGGAACGGGCTGCCATTTTACTGCGGCGGGATGGATACTACAAGGGAAAGTTCTATAGATTGTACGGCCCCCCTCTTACTAGACATTGTACGGCCTGTGTCTCACTAAAGATTGTACGGCCCCGTGTCCTTCCTAGAGATTGTACGGCCGTGTCTTACTATAGATTGTACGGCCCGTGTCTTCCTAGAGATTGTACGGCCGTGTCTTACTATAGATTGTACGGCCCGTGTCTCACTAAAGATTGTACGGCCGTGTCTTACTATAATTGTACGGCCGTGTCTTACTATAGATTGTACGGCCCGTGTCTCACTAAAGATTGTACGGCCGTGTCTTACTATAGATTGTACGGCCGTGTCTTACAATAGATTGTACGGCCGTGTCTTACTAGACATTGAAACGACCCATATCCTAGTATAGATTGTATAGCCCCGTGTCTTACTAAAGATTGTACGGCCCGTGTCTTCCTAGAGATTGTACGGCCTGTGTCTTACTATAGATTGTACGGCCCAAGTGTCCTTACTACAGATTGTACGGCCGTGTGTCTT